CAAATAGTTTATTCAGTACATAGGCCCTTTCCTGGGCGCTAACACGTCCCAAATATAGAATAGTTTTTTATTTGAAAGAAAGACATACAAGCAGGAAAAACATAGGTACACAATGAAGGAGATACACAAATGTACAGATAGCTGCTTGTGCTCTGACAAAAAGGCACCCGCTCAGCATACATCAAGACCGCGCCAGGACTTGTCTCGAAACTGATTTTCAGCGTGATGTTTCTGATATAGCTTGCGCTACCACCACTTCAGGACAACATAATGGGCAGGTGCTGAGAAGAAGTGGCGGAAGAAACTCGGTCATCTTTCAATCCTTTTATTGAAAATCAGTGGCAGATTTACCAGTAGTACCTATAAGTAGGCTGAAATAGGGCGGCAAGTTTGGGAAAAAATTAAGACTGTTACAGAAATTTTTACATTTCTTAGATCTATCTATATTCTATCGAATTTTAGAGGACGGGTGGGGGCAAATTTGTTCCGCCATTGGCTGATATGTACTTAGGCCGAAAGTTTTCTTTAGCACTAGTAGATCAGTGACAAACTTTTTTTCGTTTGTTTATCTCCAAATCTGTCGGTCCTCACCAGTAAGAAGTCGTGGAGTGTAAATGCCATTTTTGTTGTTTATGCGTAAGGTCTCATACTATGCCCTTGACCGACTTTAATACAATTTTATTTCCACGAGAAAAACAAACAGACCCTTCCCTACAAAACTGCCTAGCCCTGTCTTCCTAGGCTAAGAACCTTACGCCCGTATTCACAAACATTACTATGAGGTCTCACAGTGCGCGTGAACGCACAGGGTCACACACGAACCAATCACAGAGCTCTATTCAACGCTGTGCGTTGGAATTGCTGCTTCACTTCAGCAAGCATCGTTTGTGAATACGGGTGTTATAGATGACCCACGCTGAACTGTCCCACCAAACTCAATGACAGGGGGGCGCTACCATCGTTCAACTATATGGTTTCCAACATGGCAAAAATCTGAACCAGCGATCCGGTATTGACGGTGGCGCCCCACTGTCAATGTCATCGACAGGACAATCCAGTATTTTGGAACTATAGTAACATTCTTGACACTTTCGTGAACGTTACGCTAGAACTTCGTGAACTTTTCTACCCTACTTGGCTACTTGAGCCCCTCACGAAATTGAGGCTTAAAAACACTCAGTCGAATTGACCTTAACCTCCTCCTTTTTTTGAAGTTGGATAACTTCTTGCCTTGACCTAATGTCAATTTTATGGCATGCGGACTTTTTGAAATAAAATTGCAACGAAACTTGGAATTGTTCCGCCATTAATCTTCGGTTTATTCTTGGTGAAAAATTACTCAAAAGATAAAAGGATTTAAATACAAAAATGTGTGAAATCTTGAAACAGACACTTCTGATTCTATCACTAGCCCTATTAGATATTTTCCCAAAACAATGGGACTAGTGGTAGGACTAATATTATTTAAATTATTGGGACATAGGTAGATACATAAATTACGTTTTTTTTTAAACAAGAAATCCACAGCCCATGAGATCTCGACCAGCAGTTAAAACTTCAAAATATTTGCCACAAGGGGCACTAGTGTCCACAAACTAATCTAAAGTAAAATGCAAATAATGACCTGCTTTTTCTTCGGATTCCCTCTTCACACACGGCTTAGAAGTGGGCAGATAATGTTTATCGCCTAACACACAGCCTAAAGTGGTCACAAACTCATTCAGTCGTTTAATTGTTATTGTCTTCGTCAATTTCCCTGAAGCCACAGTTAACATTCTCCAAAATATTCTTCAGTAACTTCTATTTACCGCCAAAGTTCTCAAATTCACGAAAACACAAAATTTTTGCTGTCAAACGATTTTGACGTCTTGTTTTCTTTTTTTTTTTGTTTTGTGCCAGGTTCAGAGTCCGAGGTTGACACTTGCAAAAAGGTTGTAGTCCAAACGAGTTTGTTTACATTTTCGTTGAGTCACTGGATTAATGCGAAGTGAATTTAAAATAACAAAACTGCAGTTAGAATCGTAGATACGAGGAAATATTACGGTAAGTAGGCTTTACTTTTAAATTACCTACATAAAATCATAAAAAAACTATAAAAGTTGAGTTTTTGTCTCTTATAAACTTTGACTGACGATTCACAAATAATTTTTTTTATCAAAATTATTAAAGACATTAAAATTCAATAGTAAAATTTTAATTTAATTCTTAACAACAAGTCTAAGTAACTAAACAACGGTTATTGAAAAGAAAACAAAAAAAAGTCATTTGAAAAAACAATGTTAAAGGAAAAAAATAATCTTTACCTATTTAAGAACAATTAAGACTCTAACACATAAATAGTCGCACAAACGACACAATATTAAACTACCACCTAATCACCAAACTCGTTAATAAAAAGTAAAGAAAAACAAAACACTATCTATGATTCTAACTTTATGTTGAAACTTTAAAAACTCCGTTGAGGCTAAACGAAAACCGCGAAAGCCAAGAAAAAAATAGATAAAAAAACACTACGCACGCGCACTATAGATTGCATTAAATGCAATAAGGTGTAAAACTGGTTTAATAAATACACAGATGGTCGGCCGGCCGAAGGCGTACTGGTAAACAGGCCATGTTTCTTTAGTTCAAGACGCAAGCAGAGGTTAGGCTGTTTACACACGATGCAGTTATCTTGTATAACCAATCAATTGACATACTTTTTAACAGAGATGATGATTATGGATATCTGTAACCGTAACCGTAACCGATCATAGCAAATGTTATGATAGGGATAGAGACATGCGATTTTTGGTTTTACAAAGATAATACGATAGAGAATAATACAAAGTAATAAAAACCACCTGTTATAGGGGCATTTTTTGGAGAAATTTATCAAATAACCAAAAAAACACGAATTTAAAAGCAGATTTTTTTCCAAAAGTATAATTTTTTATTATTTGTTGGCATTTTTTGTGTGTTTTATTTATTTATTTAGTATCGCCTGTTATTTAGCATTATTACTGTTTTTATTTTATCAGGATATACCGCTTAGTTTAAAAGTTATTACGTTTTCTTTACAATAAGTAATTGGAAGAAAAAAAATTCTACAAAAAATTAAAAAAAAATCTCAAAAAATTTTTGACCTCTTTTTTGTTGATAAAAATAGGTCTACTTTCATCTATTTTCATATGTACACTTTAACGTGACTCACACTGTATACTTAGCACAGATATCCGTAACCGTAACCGAAACTTTCGGATATCCGAAATAAAAAATATCCGTAACCGTAACCGAAACCGGCATAATATTATTCCAATATCCGTAACCTTATCCATAACCGAAACTACATAGTCATAACATCCCTACTTTTCAACCGACTTCAAAAAAGGAGGAGGTTCTCAATTCGACCCGTATGTTTTTTTTTAAGATACTTATCTGTGAAAATGATGACCCCCGATGACACCCGTCCTTACTAAATTACAAATTCGAAAAACGTTGTCTTTTTGTTAGGCTCTCACGCTAAACCACTTAACTGATTTTAATGAAAGGTACAGAGTTAGTTTGAGTCCCAAAGAACATAGGATAGTTTTTATCCCGGTTTTTGAATAAGGTATCTTCTGAAGTCAACCACACGTCCAAATTATTAATTAGCTAATGGTAATTTTAACAACAACTCTTCAAATTTCTCCTTCTGGTAAATTCTTTAACAGATACTGTCGTAATTTTTTTATTTACGCAGTCCATCGTAGTTTCACTACAGATAAAAACATTTTTCAAATAACAGCTGCATCGTGTTCGGGTGCCCTTAGATTGTAAATACACACGGACAGACAATGAATAATAATTGTGTTGATTATCACAATTGGCTTATTGTAGTCAATAAGTAGATAGTGTACGTATACATACAGTTGTGGAAATGTACACGACTACATAAAAAACATATTAAAAACCATATATCATCAAGCATTGCGTTTGTATGGGATTTCAAACATACAATTAACCTTCTTTTTGTTTTCTAGCTAGCTGATGGGGCAGCTAGGTTCAAAGGCCAAATTACTGGTAAGCGCATCGTAGGACCGACGACCTCATAAAGGTAGCGGGAAGGCGCTGCACTGGATGCAGGCCGCTACCAACTGGCCACTATGGAAATCATTGGGGGAGGCCTATGTTCAGCAGTGGACGTCCTGTGGCTGAAATGATGAATGAAATTATTATGACTTTTCTCAAAAGATAAGCGATGTAGACAATATCCTGATCCAAACAGTAGCGAAACTGAAAATTTGCAAGTTTCGTTAAATTTTCATTTCATATTTCATTTTCAAATATTTTCATTTTCATATGATTCAACTTCAAAGGACCATAGATTGGTTTATGGGAGTAGCACAGGGTTTTCAGGATTGTAAGCTTGGTAAACTTCTCTCAAGGGACCTAACAAATATCTAACTAACCGTAGATATCGATATTGATTGAACTATAAACCAAAATCTATCTATCTATAGTAGCCTTTGGGTTCGCCTTCGAACATAGGCCTCCTCTTCAACCCTCCACCGACTTCTGTCTCTGGCCACACGCATCCAGTTCACTCCAGCCTGCTGCCGGATCTGGGGTGGAATTGTGTAAATCAATCGTAATCATTTGACAGTTCATAACGTACGATAAAGTCAGTTAAACAAAGCGTTTGACAGAATAATCGTACGTTATGAACTGTCAAATGATTACAATTGCTTTACACAATTCCACCTCTGATCGTCTGTCCATCGTTTAGGCGGTCTTCCCCTGCCGCGGGTATTGTTGCGGGGTCTCCACTCCAGGGTCTTTCTGGCCCAGCGATCCTTGTTCATCCGTGCAATGTGCCCTGCCTATCTCCATTTACGGCTCTCAGTCTCTTCCACTACGTCGTTGATCCACCAATATACATATTTATTAATTACAGCTACAGGTTTTACGTTCATAAGTTAAATGAATAAAGATAGTAGGTACATCTATGAACGGTTTTCCTATTATTGATGCATTTATAAAGTGAACTAGAATTTCCAGTCGTCTCACTAATGACACAGCGGTGAAGTTGTTATATCGCTGTAGATGCTCATCAGAGACGGACCACAATACAAAATAAGGTAAATTCTTTAAAATATTAATAGCGACGTTTTACCTGAAAATAAAACGTTTATTAAACATACTTNACAATCGCACGGTGTGTTAAGTGAGATGCGGTCTAGGATGTCCAAGGACATTTATTTCTATGGAAGCTTCATTACTCGCGACACGACATCTAACGATATTGCCTTTTACATTGATAAAGCACTCACCAACAGCAAAATATCTGGTGTTACACATATGCTCCTGTATGAGCTCCGAGCGGTTGTTGAACCAGCCGATCAGCCACTTCAGGTCCTCGAACTTTGTGATCTCATCGTTGATCACCTTTCTCGTGAGACGGAGGTACTCCACGTCTGCTTCTATCACCGACTCGTCCTTGTCTTCACCATAGCTTATGATAGAGATAGATAAATCGTTAATTTGCAAACACTTGCCACACAACACAAAAGCAAGAGAGATGATGTTCTTTTTATGGCCAAACGAAACGATTTTCTTATTTAAAAAAATTGGCAGTACCCATGACATCTCTTCTGCATAGTGATGGATAGCCAGTTTCTTTATGGTTGAGGATTCCGGGTAAAACTCAATTCCACTTTCGACCTGTAAGTGGCACTTTTTGATCGAATTGCAAATCGAATCCGTTCACGAAGCAATGTAACTTCATACAAAGAACGGCCTTTTGACTGTCTTTCGACATTACAACTGTCACGTTTTGGCACTTGTCTAGGGGAGCTTCGATCATCATTTTCAATCAGGTAAGATGCACACCAGAGCTTCCTCATTGTGGTTTAAAAATACAAGCGATAGAAGATCAGAGCTTACTTCCTGTACTGCATCTTGAGGATGGCCTCCGACATGTGAATCCTGAATATGACCCCGGGCCGCAGGTGGGCCTGGTACAGGTCCTTGGGCATCTCCACGAAGTTCGACTCCCAGTCCTGGATAGAAACAGTCATATTGTACGGGGAAGGACCCAGAAACGACCAAACCAGGACCGCAGCAAAGGAGCAGTTATCGAATCTTGCTTGCATAATAGGCTACTAAAGACGCCTGTTACGAGTAGGTACCAGTATTCTATCTTCTAAAATTAAAAGTACAACTCGGTCGAGTTAACTGCGCACCACGTTGAATGCGACTCCGCACTCACCCGCACACCTCCCCGCGTTAGCCCCGTCCGTACCAAAGCGTCGATGCGACGTCACTGCCGTCGGTTGCGCGGTTAACTCGACCGGCGGGCTGTGTGAGTATACATTAAACGTTCTCACTAGTAAAAAATGCATGAAAATTTCAGTTCTTGAACGTTTCCGCTAGGAGCGCTGTACAATCCGTCTTACATTAAAATTTATTTTAATGTCCCTCTTTTACCCGGTCGACATCGAATGTGATCGAATGCGTTTGACGTAAACTCACACTAGGCCCGATTGCGCTAATTTTTAACGTCTCCAATTCATCTCCAGTTGCGCTCCGTTTTTCATTCCAGCTACCTCAGCACCTCGCAAATTCTGTATCGCGGTATTTAGTACACGCGCAAACAAAGACAAAACAATTGATTTAGGGCTGATTTTTCAATCGCCAGACATCTTTTATTTGAAGAACAAACTTGTCATTTTGACATATTTCCCATACTGAAGCTGTTAATGCACCAAACTTATTTTCCAGATAAATGTTATCCGACGATTGAAAAATCAACCCTTAATCACTTTCCAATAAAAGTCCGAACACCTTATTTTTTCACTAAAGCACAGAAAATGTTCGTGAAGGCGTTTGACTTGAGTTTGACAAAAAGTAGCTTTTACACAAAGAAGCAGTTGCGTTTTGTTTTCGTTTCAACTAGCTGTCAAAGCGACACCGCGATACGAATTTGTGACTTTCGTTCGTCGTCTAGTCGCGTTGTAGTTAAAAATATTGTTGTATATGGGGCACAGGTTGTAGTTTTGAGTACCTAAGTATCTTACCTTAACAGGCGGGTCGTACGTGTCATAACTAAGTTTTTGCTTCTTCTTCTTCTTCTTTTTCTCTTGTTGCGTTTCGGTGTTATCGCTGCGTCTTGCTGCTTTTGGCACCTCGGTCTTCGAAGCGTTCTTGAACTGTCAATCATAGAGTAACTACATAATTATGATGACCATCAATCAATGACTGTATCGTTTCAGCCAAATGATGTCCACTGCTGAACAAAAGGAAAAAATTTAAAATTTATAATTTTGTTTTTAGTACTCAGATTTTGAACAGTAAGTTTGTTTAGTTAGTGGATTTTCAATAGTAAAACTGATAGATCTCATTTAATTAAATTAAATTCATTGTTTAAATCAGAATATTGTTATAAAATATGCTGTGTTAACTGTCTGACTGTTTATATAAATAACTTCACTTGGGAAATTCCAATTTAAATGATTTGTGAGAATGAATAGAGGTATCCGAGGTATCCGTGGGCTCCACGGATTGTTCTGTTCATTTCCATAAATCAGCTAGTAGTGCAAAGAGGCAAAGCATGTTTGTAAGATGGGGATAGCGGTGCGGGTTGTACAATAACTAAATGTCGATGTATAACTTTACTGCATAATCTGAATTGTACAATTGTTTGTTATCCTAAATAAAATAAAATAAAATAAAAAAGCCACAAGGATTTCCATAACGACCGGTCCCTGACTGCTTCTTAGGCCCAGGACAGACGGTGAAACGCAACTGCAACGAAACTGCAACTTTCTGATGATTCTGATAAATGAAACTGAAACTGAAAGTTTCAAACTGGTCGCGTCATGTGTGGTCTCTCAACGGACGCAGAAACTTAGATGCAACTCAAAAGTAACTAGCAGTTGCAGTTTCGTTGCAGTTGCTTTTCACCGTCTGTTCTGGGCCTTATACATAGAGTTGATGGCCGCTGGGGCAGAAAAGTTCTCGAGTGACAACCACGCGCCGGAGGACGTAGTGTGGGCAGGCCCCCCACTAGGTGGACCGAAGATCTGGTGAAGGTCGCGGGAAGTACGTCGATGCGTGCAATGGCTTTAACTTCAAAGTTTTTGCGTTAAGAATCGCATTTCAAAGTCTAAATATACTCGTAGCTTGAAAAATGCAAATTGCAATTGGAATTCGATTATAAATCAAGCTCAGAATTTGTTGATTCTGAGAAAATTTGGATTTTCCTTATACTAAAAAATGCATGGTTGCTTAAAAATATTCCTATAGGTCATCTCCTAAAATATCAAACATATTACATATAAATAACTACTTTTTGCTGCATCTTGCTTGCGGCGGCTTCGCCCGCGATCATTCAAAGATTTATTAAAACCTGTATCTTTTTTACTTCCGCTTCCATTTCAATACTTTTTAGTGACTGCGCCAGAAGGAAGGTTATGTTTTTGTACTGTACGATGTATTTTTTCTTTGCCATGCTCTCCTAAATAGTAGTAAGTCGTCTAGCTAGACGTTTTTAACCCGACGAGGAATGCGGGAACGTGTGCCTATTATGCATGTACCAGCGCTTTCCGTCGAGGGGTGCCCAATGGAGAAGTTTCCAATTTTTTCTTTTAATAAAACTTGAAAACATAAGGAAAACCAATAATAATTGTGGAAAAATCATGAAAATATCTTTACAAAATTAAATAAAGAAGTCACAGAGCCCTAAAGTTACGCATAACAAATATTTCGCGCCATTTGATCGGTGTAGTCACGGCACCGTCTATATTTGAGTTCCACGCGAAAATATTATGTAAGTAGGTGTAATTTAAATAATTAATTTTGCAGCCATTTCTTGATGGCTTGATTCATGAGCTATGATGATACTCATCATAGCTCATGAGATAGTACTATCGATTATCATCTTCGAATCGCTAGCCCAACATCCTTGAGCAACAGTCCTTTCTAGCATGTGCCCGCTACAAGTTTTGTAGTGGCGAGTCCATAGATGTTGCCACACCACTACTGCAAAAAGTACCTACCTCGTTGTCGTCGGGTGGTGCGGTGGTTGCACGCTGTCTCCCACGCCGTCTGCCTCCGTGCCCTCTCCTCCTCTAAATAATAAGAATAAACAGGACTTAAGCTCATAGCAGACTCATCAACTCGGAAAGGGATCAACACCGTATCGCCTTTCGCGAGCTGTCATTGCCTTTCGCGCGCTGTCAATCGCGAGGCGTTTACATTACGGTGCGGATAAGTGTGCGTTGCAGTATGGAGTTTCATACAAATAATGCTGACCGCCTCGAGTTAATACGGTTACGATCCCTTTCCGGGTTGATACATGTGCGATGTCCTTTAGGACGAAGCTCAAAACTCGATTCAATTTCAAGTACTTAAAGAGGGTTTTGATTGGTTGACTTTAAATATTTAGACCAATCAAATTGTAATTGCGATTGAATAGAATTTTGAATATTGTTTTGAAATAACATTGCTTGAGTAAGTTACAAGTAGGTTACGCGTTTTAATAATGGCCACAGATTTACTTGATCCTATGATACAAATAGGTAATGCATGTGTGTAATGTCTATTTCATTTTAACAGGTATAGCTCCACTTCTACGAGTAGCTCCTACTATAGAATCACTTAACATTGATCAGGCAGTGTGATAGCAATCAAATACCTGCTTTGTTCTGCATTAAAAAGAGTGCCTTTTTGTCCAGGATCTACATACACCATGTAAAACCAGAGAGAGCGTCGAACTCCTTCCTCGATAAATGGGCTATCCAACAATCAAGAATTTTCCAAATCGGACCAGTAGTTCCTGAGATTAGCGCGTTAACCTCAAAAACTCTTCAGCTTTTTCAGCTTTTGAAATTCAAGGATGTGTACAATGAAAGACAATTTCAGAATCCATCATTTATTAACTTACTCCTCAACATCTTTAGGCTCCGTTATGGAGTCCACAAACACCACAGAGTTGCACTCAGCTGCATCGCACTGCAACATGGGGGGCACTTCCACAGGAGTCACTGAGTACTCATCACCAATGACGTATGGATTTCCGTCAATCCAAAGGGCATCGAACAGGCAATAAATGTGCACTTTGATACTCATGTAGCTGATGAACTTATAGATCCTTCCACCACACTCTCCCAAATGCTCCTTAATGCTTTTATCTGTCTTATACATCAACAATAAATTATGGAACTTCGTGATTTCGTCCATTACCACCTTCTTGATCAAATTAGTGTAGATTATATCAGCTTCAATATGCCTTTCTGGGTCTTCGTACATGCGCTGCTTGATTCGCAATATGGCGTCGGACATTCGCACCCGAAAGATTACTCCTGGGTTCATCTGGTCGGGCAAGATTCCAGGCTTCTTGGTGGTGGTGGAGAACTCCAGGATCCGGTCTTTGACTGGCTCAGGGTAGGTGTAGTGGTGAGGCCGTTCGCGCAGCTTCGGACCGTTGATGGTATTGAATGTCCGGATGTTCTGGAGCAGAAAACGGGTGGTCAGGTCTTGGGGCTGCACTGATACACTTGGTCACACTATTTACGAATCTTTTGGTCACTTTAGAATATAAATTTGTAAGTAATGATCACTAAACACAGCACAACTCAAATGCGATTGCAGCAAAAGGACGCAACGTGGATGATCGGAAATTTCAATACCTTCAATAACTCTATAGTTAGTTAAGTGGTTACTTATTTATCAAAAATAATAAGTCCTTTGTTTGTTTTATACAGTACGCGTCTTTTCATTATCACTCAAGTACCTACCTCAGATGTTATCGATTTCAAAATGATTTTGACTTTGACTTCGTATAGTCATTTCAATGGTTAATAAATACCGTACAATGAACGAAAAGGGCCCAGGGACTCAGGGAAAACTGAAAAGGCCTATTTTAAAGGATTATTTACTTCATCCTTTTCAGGTTTCAGGATTTGCCCTACCACTTCGGAACAACTAGAGATGGTACTGCGAAGAAGTGGCGCAAAACACTCAGTACCTTTTTATGTACACAGTTCGAGCTACCCATTTTTATTTTTTCTCTCGCTCTCATCAAATGATGATTCTTTGCGAAGGAACGAGACATGACCGGCAATGGGTAGCTGGAAGTATAGTACCTACCATAGTACCTACATATTATATCTTTTGGATTTATACATAAGTCCTACTTATTTTTTATATTTGTTTCCGCCATCTTACCTTAGCTCGCCTCTTGATCCGGTTATGCTCGGATGGCTCGCCGTGCTGCTCGAGGTAGGAATCGAACCTGCTGAAGTCGAACGGTGCCCAGGAGTCCACTCCTGGTTTTGTGTGGATTTCTTTGGTGACTTCCTCCTGTGTAACACAAATATATATGAGTTAAAGCCACCACTGGACTATTGTGGTGAACCCTCTCGAATCACAAGCATTCAGCTTAGCATGAGGGGTTAACGGGACTAGGTAATTTGTGCAATAACTACTTTTTAAGTATCTATTTTTTTTTAAGTAAAAGGGGCAGGAAACTTCTTGAATGGCGACCACGAGCCGGAATACGTAGCGTGGGCAAGCCTCCCACTAGGTGGACCGACAATCTGGTGAAGGTCGCGGGAGGCGCCTGGATGCGAGCGGCGCAGAACCGGTCTTTGTGGAAATCCTTGGGGGAGGCCTTTGTCCAGCAGTGGACGTCTTTTGGCTGAAACGAACGAACGAAGTAAAATTTACGGTGTGAAAACGTAGTAAGTAATTCTTTTTTAAAAGATTTATTGTTCCTAAGAGCTGCTTCTAAGACCAACTTGTGTTTCCCAGTGACCCCAGTTAGCGTCTAACTTCTTTTAACACAACACATAACTCGCCAGTGGTCTTATTATTTATTTATTTATTTATTTTATTTATTATTAACGTCATTAGAATTCTTGTGCTTGCTGAGGCACCCTTTAATGAAGTAAAAATCCTATTAATGAATCACTAAACTATTTAGGTATTGTTTATGCTTTTTGTATTTTTAAATAAATAAATGAATAACTATACCTTGCCATGCGCCATGCTCTTAGGTCCCATGAACTGCACGGGCTGCTCGTACAACTCGTCCTTTACCTTAAAATCACAAAAACACTCATCAAGAAACACCCACATACAAAGGGGCTATTTATAAGTCCGCCTGGCTAGCTACCACCATCTTAGCAGTTGGAGGTGAGATAGCCAGTTCCACTGTGGTGAAGGATTCCGGGTGAACCTCGCTTTTACCTTTGGCTTGATCACTTTCCATCAGGTAAAATGCAGGCCAAGAGCATTGCCGTTATGATACAAATAATATATTATAAAAAAGTTACTTAGGCATTAAGGAAGGCGCTGGAAGTAAGCCGCTACCAATCGATCAATATGGAAAGCATTGGGGGAGGCCTATGTTCAGCAGTGGACATCCTATGGCTGAGATGATGATGATGATGACGCATTATGGGCATATACATTATCATTGACATTAATGGACTTCTAAAAAGCACCAAAGCGCACAGTCTCCCCCCCCTTTTTCATCCAGCTACCTCTCTGATGTCATCGGTCCATCGGGCACAAAATAATGTAGAGAAATAACTTACATTGGGATAGTTGAAGTCGAAGCTTGGCGCTGGATCAGCTCTGGTCATCCATGACATAAATAAAAGCTGTAAAGGAACATGCTCTGCTTTTTAATACTAAATCTTCTCAACCACGTCAGCTTTTAAACAAAAATCTTATCTCAAAATCGGTCCATTCGTTTACGACACGACGTACTTTAACACCAATTGCATGAACGATTAAAAATAAATTAAAGTTTGTTTGTTAAAAAGACAGAAACTTACCAAAAACACGTCTAAAATCAACATAGTCTACGTTTCCACCGACCCCTCGGCAAGAAGCGACTGAAAATAGTTTCCCAAAATAAATAACTATTACACACCTGTTACATTTCTAACTGCCTATTAATTTTTACGATTTTATTGCTTTGCCAATTTGTTAGACTGAAGCAATGAAGTTAATTGCTAGAGTACACAATTGCTGTAATAAAAGGCACAGGCACTTTTCGATAGAGCCTTTTTGTGGAACCAGTATAAAATTTACCGTTTGGTTTCAGCGGAATAAATGGCTGGTAGACGAAGTGTAGGCAGGTGGATTAGGTGGACCGACCACCAACTTCGAACTCCTATGTTCTTCAGATTAATTTCGTTGCAGGTCCAATCACAGTTTAACTTTCCCCGGGACAAACTTGACCTTCACTGGTTGGGTTATGGCGGTCAAGCTGTAGATCCTGGTTACACAGGTTGCAGCGGTGGGAACGAGTGGATATCCTTGGGGGATGCCTTTGTTCAACAGTGAATAGATTAACATCAATCCCATTCCCGTGGATATTCGTAAAAGGCTACTAAGGGACAAATATAATGATCATCATCATCATCAACAGCCCTTTACAGTCCACTGCTGGACTATGAACCTCCTCCACTATAGTGGAGGGTTTTGCCATAATCCCCACGCTTGGCAGGAGATCGCAGTTTAAAAGATTGATGTTTTTCAGAGAGCGCTGAGCCCGTTCTCTGTTTGATGTGTAGTCCCTAAGTCGCCTCTTACGACATCCGTGGGAAGAGTAGGGGTTGGTGACAAATGTATTCTACTCTGCCGTCACCACACGGCTATCCTCGGTACGGTAATCCTCCATTTACCTCTGGTCAATTAGAGAGCTCAGTAGAGCCTCGTAGCTTAATTATAAGCTTTGACTTTGAATTGATGAAATGAATAACCAGAACGTCTATCACACGAGTCAGGATTGAAAAGAAACGTCATTTCAGTCTCATATCAATTTATTTCCATCATCAACCCTCTCCGACGTCATCACGAGTCGTGACGTCACGCTCCCGTCTTCGCAGGTGACATCACAGGCTGTTCAAGCTACGGGCTTCCGGCGTGGACGACAAGTGGATGGTGGCCGTCACTCGATCACGCCAGACGGAAGGGAAGCGGAGCTCTTCATCTGAAATGAAGAAAACAAAACAAAATTAAATAGGGGGCTTAACACATGTATGGGCAGGGCACATAGTACGCAGAACTGACGGCCAATAGGGCAGCAAGGTTCTGGAATGGAGGCCACGTACCGGAAAACGCAGCATCTGACGTTCACCCACAAGGAGGACCGACTTCATAAAAGTAGCAGGAAGATGCTGGATACAGGCTGCTACCAACCGATCATTATGGAAATCATTGGGGGAGGCCTATGTTCAGCAGTGGACGTCCTGTGGCTGATATGATGATGATGAGGGAGTTTAACAATGCCCTGAGGAGTCTTTCATCAACTGACTCCGCTTTTCACTGAAGGGAAGTCGAACCTTAATTTCGTTGACAGTTTAACTTTCCCCTGGGACAAACTTGATCTTCACTGGTTGGGGTTTATTGGTGGTCAAGCTATAGATCCTGAACACACAGGAGTTGCAGAGGGAACGAGAGGTTTCAACTGAGAACGAGAAGGAATAGTTCCATAATAAGGGATCGAACACCACGAGTCAATCGGGCATTCTGTGGGTGTTAGGATGTAGGTACCCGCGACCTTTGGCCTAGTAGTCTAGATACAAGTATTTTATTGATTATAATCATTGATGTAAAGGCTTGATAAACAAATACATGAACAACTCTTATTAAACGGACACCATGCGTCATGTAACCTTACAAGGTGACCTTGTATTAATAAACACAATCGGTGCCTTTACACATGCCGATTTTTTATCTAAATCGCTTCCACCTTCAGCCTGATCATCTCATATGAGATGAAATGTAGGCCAAGACCTTCTTCATAAAATATATCATGCTAAAGCAGCCCACAGCTGGACATGGGGCTCCCCCAAACCGCGCTTGTCTTCAGCTTTTTAAGTGAAAGCTGGCGGGCGTCCTACACTACTTGCAAATGGTGGAACTAGGTATTTAGTTTCCCATGACTTCCACTGCTAAAAAAAAGGCGTCCCCCAAGGATTTTCACAACGACCGATCCTGCGCATCCAGGTCCTTCCGCTCTTCACTAGATCGTCTGTACACCGAGTAATATTTTTACCGACATCAGTAACTTACATCGTCATGTCATCATGTGTAAATGCCATTTTTGTTGTTTAAGCGTAAGGTCTCATACTATGCACTTGACCGACTTTTATTACAATTTTATGTCCGACTAATAAAGAGACCCTTACAATGCCAACCAACCCAATGTCCCTAGATAAAGAAGTCATAACGGATTCGTTAGTTTGGCATTTTTTACGTACTACTAGAGCCGATCAAGAAATAGGATTTACGACTTAAATCTATATTAAACTAGACACTGCTTTCTCGTCAAATCGTGTTTTTTATATTTTTGACTCAACTGCTTGCTTACCTTGACCTAATATTATGGCCTGCGGACTTTTGGGACTTTGCGGACTGCGGAATTTGAATGCAACTTCCCCTTTTCAATTATTTTTAGTAAAAAAAAAACCTTTTAAAGGTTTGTAGGTATATTTAAGATATTTGGAACTTAAAAACGAGCTGAATTCCACTGTATCGCGTCGTAGCAAGACTCGCATTTATTTAAATCGTCTTGCGGAGTAATTCTTCTGTACCTTGGTACTATTACATATTCTGTGCTTCTTCTCAGCAACCAGCCAGCCAATGTCCCGAAGTGGTTAA